TTCAGCAGCTCGTACCCGGGTTCGAAGTTTTTCAGTGATGGTCCACGATTCATGACCGTAGGTAAGTATGAGGATGAAGTTCCTTGCGGCCTCTGTTTTATATTAAGATACTGAAGAAATGCGCAGCATATTTTGGGCAAATGAGCCGGATTTACATCAAGGACACAAGCATTTCTTCGTTTTTTGTAAGAAAAATAACCGCAGCTTCTGCATGGCATAAAAAGAACCGCCTTAGTCTTGAATTTATTTGCAAAGCGTTCGTGCATATTTTCGGCAGTTACGATGCTTCAAGCGGTCAGAAATCTGGATTCTTGTTAACAGGTGTTATACCCTACGAATGTTCGGAAGTATTGCGATCTGGATATTTTCTATGAACCATGTATTAGAATGCTCAAAGACGTAGTCATGTTCGTGTTTTACTTTAAATCAGATATTTCAGAGACAGCTGAGTTAAATCAGAAACTATCAGCAAGACAATCTATGCAAACGTTTGAATCGAAACATCTAAATCAATGTCTATATCTCTTAGAAAATTCATTTTAAGGAATACTTACTGCTCTGAAAAGTGTCAGGAGCATTTTAAAAAATACCAATCTTCACGCCAGTTAATTTAAAGTGTCATAAGTAGTTTTTCTGGTGGTGTCTCGTCCCATCCTTATAACGCTTAGATATATTTTGTGAAAATATTCAGTTTTGCGATTTTCGATGTGTAAAACATGCTAATCTCTTCGTGTACTGTATAAAATTCTGTTCAAGGCTATAGCTTTAGAAAAGAATGCCCTAAATTTCAGCATTATCACTTTAATGTGCTTTACTCTGATTTAAGCGTAAATGAATTGCTTACTGCGGTATATTGTGTTTATTCACCGCGGACTGATTCCTTGGTTAGAAATCATATTTTCAAATTGCGTACGATTTGAGTTCCTGAGATTTTACCATATTGCAGAGTGTATAAATCATTTCCTATTTTCAGACGATATAACTAAAATTATGAACGAGATATATGACTTGTTGTTCATGAATTTTTTTTTGCTGCTTTACAGCAGATATCTGTCATTAATGGTATTGAAAACTTGAATGTGTGAAGTTCTAGTAGGTAATTGTACATGTGACGGGAGTACTATCGCTCTGTTGTCTTTTGCCTTGCATCTACTACTCCGTCTGTTGCTTTGCATCCGCGCATTGAAATTTATTGCTTAATATTGTGGAAGATGCAGAGCTCAGATAGCATAGTACGTGCAGCATTCTTTGAATCAAAGCTTATCGTCTGTACGGAGTTTCACCATGCCTTCGGAATCTTTGGTTATCGACAGGATAAACTGAATATATCTTTTGTATAGGGATCAACGTTTCACTCGATCGTCGTCATGGCGCTATCATTAAGACGATCGCTATATGCTGGATCGAAACCTTAATCCGCTAAGTAAAAGGCTTATTTCTTATTATTGTGACTAATCATCGATGAAGAAAATGGGCTGATAGTTCACGAAACAGCACCTATAAGATTTGTAAATTACTTCTTTGAATTTGAATTTCATTTGCAAATAAAAAAATAGTAAATCCGTAACGCAGTTTGTACATGTCGGATAAGAGGTAAGATAAGATTTTTTGAGGATTAGCTGAATATACTGTCACGGCTGCCATAGCTGCTGAAAGGAGTAAACTTCATCCTGACCTGCAATCGCACGCTTTGGATATTACCCCTTGTACGTTCTGTTTATATGTGGTGGTATTTATGGATAATGGTGTCGACTGCTTGTTTTCTCGTTTCAGGCTTGTACTCTCACACATGGCAGATTCCAAAGCAAGTACTGGATAAAGTACTGGTATAAAGTGTCTAAGCTGTATATTAGTCAGATGGGCATTAGTATCATGATTGTCTAGCTTCTGCTTCTACTGATCAGCTGTACATCAACTAGGGAGTTAATAGTCAACTATAAAGGCTTCCCGCTATAGTTAGGTTCAGATGTATAACTTATATAGTGAAGATTGAGTACATC